GATTTTTTTTTAAAGCTACCACCCACAAAACTTTAAGTGTTTTGTTTACCTACTAAGTAACTCGTGACAATGCAATAGGAAGAGGCAAGGGGCCTTGTCTTCCCTTTTTGTGTTGTCTGCTTAATTGCTGAAGTTTGCCCAAGCTAGGGAGTTTGGAAATGTTTGAAAAGTGCAGTGGGAGTAGATTTTCTGAGATTGATACATTAGAGGTGAGCATTTGGCAGCACATGGAGTCCAGTTGAACCTGCTGTTATTTCTTTTTGGACCTGTCTGGTCAGCCCTTGTGTTGGATAGTAACCTCCGAGGAGGATCTTTAGATGGCAGAAGAAATTAGATACATAAATTCAAGTTCCACACACAGGTTCCTTAGGGGAGGAGGACTGGGAACCTCCTCCCAGTAAAAAAGGTGCTTCCAGGTGAGCAGGATTCCCCTTACTTGAAAGTATCCTGGTGAGTGAGTCGCCTGCACTGTTGCTCAATAGGGCTTGGACTTGTTCCTGCACGCAGTAGGGCTCAGTAAATGTTTGACAAATGGATTTGTAAGTGAATGGTTCTTAGAAGGGAAGCGAGCACAGTGAATACTTAGCCTCCCAAGAAAGAACTGACATGCAGTCACTGAGAAACAATGAAAGCTTGAAAGAGCATCCAGGCTAGGAAAAGAAGCAGTGGAAGAGAAAGACAGGATGTGGGCTAGGTCTAACTCACCCTTCTGTGACCTTGGGCAACCCATTAAATGTCTCTTAAGTCTTCTTGTAAAGCTTTAAGCTGTGTGTGCACATGAGACACTCCTTCAGATCTGAGTGCTCAGTGGAGCCAAGCAAGCATTTATTTATTTTTATTTTAATGTAGCATGAGGATATGTAGAAGCAAAAATATCCTCTTCAGTTTAAATGATCAAAACAATGAACAGATTATTCAAAAAGCGCTATCAGCGTTCACTCTGTGCATTAAAAACAAAAAGCAGTTGTCAGAGAAAATCTTATTAATTTGCTATAAGAAAAATGTTAATTATATAGGCATGCCCACCAGTGAGAAAGCTGGGGCAGAAAGATTCTCAATTTGGGGCCAGCTGGCTATGTAGCAAGTTAACCCATAGCTGTTGAAGGAGAGAGAGAGAGAGAGAGAGAGAGAGAAAGAGAGAGAGAGAGGAGGGGTTGGAGAGAAAGAAAAGGAAAAGAAAGACGTTTATACATTTTTTTAAAAAGACTATCCTATAAAAAAGGGTGATTGCTGAAACCTAGGAAGCATTTTCTTTGTCATGCTTTAAGTCAAACATTCAGTCTATCCCTTTAATAATTGATTATGCATATACTCCAGCAATCTTCATAATGCATATTTTATTACCAGTGTATAAAAGATTTTCATAGTGGACGTATAGCCACATGTGTGCAGTCTTAGAAGCAGTCTAGGTTACATAGTGAGACCCTGTCTTACACTAACACTATGCAACACAAACAAACACAAATGTTATGCATAATTTAGTTGGTGTAGAAGTTTGGAAAGAACTTGGAGGAAGAATGGTGGGTGTGAGATGAGCTGTGGAGAGATATATTGGGCAAAGATGTCTGTTATACTTTTTGGTCCATCTGTGGACAAGGAAGAAGGCTGATTTGAGCCACCAACCCGCTGCTGCATCTGTTGGATATGTTGCTGTTCAGTGGAAAAGGATTGGGTATTTGAAGGGCATTAAGCACAAGGAAAGAGGTGGTTACAGAACTGAGAACTAAGTTCTCACTGAAGCAGGAGAGGGATGTGTGGAGAAGGACCAGGAAAGACTTGGTGATGCTCTGTTAACATCAATGGGAGCAAATGTACATGGCATGTGTAAAACTTAAGTTTAATTTCATGACACCATACATGAAGAATCAAATGCCTTATGTCCTTAAGGTTCTGTAAAACCAGCTTGGGCTGGAGCCCCGAGCTTTTCTATTCACCTCCAAGGCCCCTGAATTGGGTCTGGAGATCTCAGCAAGAAGTCCCTCAAGCTGTTCCTTGAAGCCTTTAAGAAAATGGGAAAGAGGTTAAAAAGCAGACTAGAATCAGCTTTAAGGATTGTGTATTTGAAAGGGAGCTTCAGCTCCCCACAGTTTGCCTGGAGTCAACAGACACTCTGCAGCAGCATACCTGGTGGCCAGTCTCAGCTTAGGACAGTCTGTGTTGTGAGATGGGGGGACTCTCTGGGGATACCCACAGAAAAGTGCTCTCTGGTCCCTTGGTCTGGTGCTGTGTGATGTGTTTCCAGGGCAGCAGCAACGCTGACTGTGGGATCTTACCATTGGCTTATGTGGGGCTCCCTTGGGTGGTTAGCTTGGGCACACCTCATGATCTGCTGGTTGGAGGGAAGATGATGTTGCCTTGTAGGTGATGTACTGTAGGGGTTGTGCCTTGTACTCCTTCCTTTTCTGGGGGAGCAGGCAGAGATTGTAATCTTACTGTCTGAAGACACGGGGACTGACTGATTAGGGCCTCTCCCACTTCTTTCTCTCCCCTTTCCTTCCTTTCCCTACTTCCTAGGCACTTTCAGTTTGCTATTTCTTTTACATTTATTTTATTTCAATTTAATTTCAGTCTCCTCTGTATCTCTGTCTCTGTCTCTCTGTGTCTCTGACTCTGTCTCTGACTCTGTCTCTCTCTGTGTTTGGAGTCACTCATGTCATACATGCATGAGGAGGCCAGAGGGCACTTTGGGGAGTGGTTCCCTCTTTTCACCAGGATTCTGGGGACTGAACTTAGGTTGTCAGACTTATAGACAGGCATCTTATCCAATGAGTCATCTTGTTGTCTCCACTTACTATATCCTTACCTGGGATATTTACCTTCTTGATTGTGAGTTTTAGGAATTCTTGTACTTTCCACATTGTCTTATATGTAACTGATGTTTTAATTTTCTTACCAATTTCTTTGAATTAAAAATATTTAAATGTTGATCTTTTTTACTTCATTTTCTTTTGATTAATCCTTTAATTTCATGTACTTTTACTTTTCCCCCAGTTTTCTTCTAATGTCATAGATTTTGGTTGTGAGCCTAGTATTTAATGGCTGAGCTATCCCAGAGCCAGTTCCAGGACAGATTCCAAAGCAACAGAGAAACCCCATCTTGAACTCCTGCCCCCAACAGAAAAATCATAAATTTTATATATGTTACAAACATTTTTAAGATTCTCTTCATGTGGATATGTAATTGTCCCAGCATCTTTGCTTTGAAAAGCAAAGTTGTTTTTTTTTGATCTTTGAGTTACGTTAGTAATTACTTTCTGAAAAATTTACCATAGATAAGTGGGTCTGTTTTTTCACCTTCCTCTATTCCATCCTTACTCTATATAATGTCACAGATACCATGTTTTAAGAACATCTTTAAAATAGGTTGGGGCAGTTCTTCTGCAGTCTTTGTTTACAGAATGTTTTGGCTGTTCTCTGTGTTTTTGCATCTCCATATAAAATTCTAGTGTTCTTTGTACAGTTAGACTAAAAGCAGGGTAGGAGTTTTGAGTAGGCTTGTGTTGATTATAGATATCAATTCTCATTGCATAGACTCAAGGACTCTTAATCTAATACCATACTACTTTTTCCCATTAATTTAGATGTTCATTTCTCCTCTTCTTCTTCTTCTTCTTCTTCTTCTTCTTCTTCTTCTTCTTCTTCTTCTTCTTCTTCTTCTTCTTCTTCTTCTTCTTTTCGAGACAGGCTTTCTCTCTGTAGCTTTGGAACCTATCCTGGCACTCTCTCTGGAGACCAGGCTGCCCTTGAACTCACAGAGATCTGCCTGCCTCTGCCTCCCGAGTGCTGGGATCAAAGGTGTGTGCCACCAATACCTGGCTTAGATGTTCATTTCTTAATGGCATATCATGTATAGGTCTTGCTGTGTCATTGAGTTAATTTTTTGATATATTCTAGATGACACTATTAATTTAGGTTTGTATTTTAGTTGTTCTTTGGCAGATAGATGACGATTGATTTTTGCACAACCTTTGTCCAGTGACCTTGCTAAATGATCGAAATAGTTTCACTAATTCTAATAGGCTCTTTACTTTGTAACTTTCCTGTATATCCTTTTTTTTTTTTTTTTTTTTGTGTGTGTGTGGGTGTGGGGGTGTGTGTGTGTGTGTGTGTGTGTGTGTGTGTGTGTGTACTGATATTTTTCTTGCTGTTTTATTGCACTATCTGGATTCATTGACTTGGCATTTTTGTATTGTTCCTCATTATCTGTGAGAAATGTTTTGTCCTGTACTAAGTGTGATCTTTGCCACAGTTCTTTTGAAAGGTATATTTTTAAGATTGAGAATATTTTCTTCAATGTTCGTGAATATTTTGTTAAAATTCTGTTTGTGGTCAACCTTTTGTGTTTCTGGGCATTTCACAGCTTAACCTTGATATCATTAATGAACTATTTGCTTATCTATTTGAGTTCTTATGGAGCTTTCTGATTCTGTTTTGTGAAATTCCTGTTTTTTATTTTTTGCAATTTCATTTTGTTTTGGAGAAGTTCCTTGAAGTCCAGTGTCTACTTGTGCTAGTTTTCTGTTTTTATGAAAACAATAATGCCAAGCAAATTAAAAGCAGGAAAGGTGGGGGCTGGAGAGATGACTGTGGTTAAGAGCTCTGCCTGTTTTTCCAGAGGTCCTGAGTTCAATTCTCAGCAACCACATGATATGACTCCCAACCATCTGTGATGAGATCTCATGCCCTCTTCTGCTTCTGCGTACAGGGATACATGCAGGCATAATAATACTGCATACATAATAAATCTTAAAAAAAAAAAAAAAGCAGGAAAGGTTAGCACTGTCCCCTGCAGTCCATGGTTGGTGGCCTTTCCAGTTTGTGTACACTATGATGGAGTAATGGAGTGCCTCTCAGAGGCCGCTATACTGATTATGGTGGTCAGGAAGTAAAGAAAAAGAGCGGAAGTAGTATGGTCCTTTCCTGCACATCTCCTCCCATGCCTGTCTCTGCTTGGACCTGCCTTCCTCCTCCTCCTCCCCCACCTCCCCCCTCCTCCTTTTTCCCTCCTCCTCCCCTCCCCCCTTTCTTCTATTTTGAGACAGGAGCTCTCTACATAGTGATAGAGCTCCTGGAACTCACTCTGTAGAGCAGGCTGGCCTGGAACTCGAAAGATCTGCTTGCCATTGCCTCCAAGTGCTCGGATTGTAGTATCTTGTGTCCGGAGACAACAACAGCCAGGTCCTGTCCAGCTTATTCATCCAGTCTGTGCTTGGAGGGAGGTGTTCGAAGCAAGAAATGGCAGGTAGAAAAATTTTTGATACAAAAGAGAAGACAGAGACACAGGATAGAGTGGGAGGGCACCCCAGTGAATACTGAACCTCCATGTTTATTCTGCACTGTCTTTTTATACCCTCACCAAAAGAGGGGGAGAAGATAAAATACTTCCTTACCAAGACAAAGAACAAGCAAACATACTTACCTTCTCAATACACAAACATCAAGTAAGTATACTCTACAGCAAATATTCCGTTGTCAAGGCAAGATATACAATAGGTAGATTTATCTTTTAGAAAACATAACAACATATTGTTAGAGTGAAAAAATTAAGGAAACATTTTCTAGTTAAGGTCCAACCAGGACATAGAGAAAAGAAAAATTTGAGCCATGAAGGTTTAATATAAGGAAGTACTGACCAAGAACAGAGTGGTGGCCGCTAAAAGGAAAAGGATTTTGAAGAGTTAGTAAAGCAGGGGACAGGCCTCATGATGTGATCCTATAATACCAGCTAGTCAGGAAGTGAGGGTAGGGAGCTGAAGCTGAAGGCCTGCCTGGGCTGTAGAGGGAGTTGAAGAGCAGCTTGGACACGTGTGTGAGACCCTGCCTCAAACACTGAAAAAGAGGTGCTACAACGATGACTCACTGGTTCAGAGTACTGGCTGCTCTTCCAGAGAACCTGGCTGGCTTCAATTCATAGCATCCCCATGGCATCTCCTACCGTCAGTCCCAGAGGATCCAGCTCCATTTTCTAGCCTCTGAAGGTACCAAGTACACATGTGCCACACACAGACATACATGCAGGCAAAACGAGCATGCACATAAAATAAGTAAAAAATTTAAAATATTAAAAAAGAAACGAAGATGTAATTTAGTGCTAGAAAACTTGACTGTCATGTGTAAGGCCCTGGGTTCAATTCCCAGGTCATGTGTAAGGCCCTGGGTTCCCTTCCCAGTATGACCCCCCCCCCCCCAAAAAAAAAAAACAACAAACCAACAACACCAAAAAAGGAGGGGTTTGGAAGAGTGGAAGAGTGGCCCTTCTTAGAACTTCAAGCCTTTCTGATTTCCTTTCTCCAGGAGAGGTTGTAATACAGCTCTCTGGGTAGGGGAGAAATAGGCTGAATTCTGCATGTTGAGACATTCTCAGAAGCAGCAGATGGACTTTATAGTCCAAAGGGCAGTGGTTCTCAACCTGTAGGTCATGACCCCTTTGGGGTCACATCAGATATTCTGCATATCATATATTTACATTATGATTCATGACAGTAGCAAAATTACAGGTATGAAGTAACAGTGAAAATTTTATTGTGGGTGGGTCACCACAACACGAGGTACTGAGCTCAAAGGTTGCAGCATTAAGAAGACTGAGAACCACTACTATAGGGTATCTATTTTGTCATCAGTAGGACAGAAAAACTGGATTCAGTTTAAGAAATCATTTGTTGTTGTTGTCTTTTTTTTTTTTTGACATTTCAACTGTTAGGAATGATGAGACACTTTAGTATGAAAGTACTTCTTTGAACATTGAGTTGGTTAATTTTGATTTCAACTCAATATAATCTATGATGAGCTAGGAAGAGAGTCTCAATGAGGAAATTGTCCAGATAAGGTTGACTAGTGGGCATGTCTATGTGGGATTGTCTTGATTACTTTGAGATGGGAAAGAGCCATCCATTATGGGTGACAGCATTCCCTGTGTTTGGGTCTTGGAGTGCATGTGAGTGGAGAAAGTCAGCCAAGTGCACGCATGCTTGCATCCATTCCCTGTCTGCTTTTGATCGTGGATGTGACCACCTACTGGCTTCAAATGCCCGTTGCTTTGACTTGCCCGTTCTGATGGACTGTACCTGGAATTGTGAGCTAAAACAAACCCTTTTTCCTTGAAGTTGCTCTTGACAGGATGCTTTCTAATAGCAACAGGAAATAAAACTAGAACAAGAATGTTTAACAACTAACTAATGCATTATTCTTTCTGTGTGCACATGTGTGTGAGGTCCGGACAGGATTACTGTTGTTATCTTCCTCAGCTTCTACTTAATTTTCTGAGCAGGTCTCTTCCCAGAACCTGGAGTTCAAGGATTGATTGCTCTAGGCTCTCTCGATGTCCATGCCATGAATTCCCCTGGCTCCGCCTCCCCAGTACTGGGGTACAGGCAAGGCCACTGCATCAGTCCTTTTGGGTGGGTACTGAACATTCACACTTAGGCCCTCATGCTTAGTCAGCATGCCTTAGGCACTGAGCCATCTCCCTAGTGCCTAAAACCATGTTTATTTCATTAGTGTAAGTGACTTTAATTCTGCACTGCAAATGAATTATGAAAATGTAACTCAGGAATTAGAGATATATCACATGCTAATTGGATAAAAGAACTATATCAGCATTAAGAACAAGCTAAATGATTATTTTACTTAAACCACAGATAAGGAAGTTAAAATATATGACTTGATTATCAAAATTTTTTTTACCTATATGTTTTCTAGAATGTAAGTACTTTAATTTAAACTCAGACTGTGTTCTACAAGATTGTTGCCAGTTTGATTTTTGGAACTGAATATGTATGGTGTTCCCATAGAAACCATGTTTGTTCCTGTAGGGTTCTTTTCTGCCCCCCCCCAATGTGTTTATTTTTGTAGGCACTTAGGTTATAGTGCTATTTAATAACATTTAGTAGGAGAATTGCATTGACAGTTTTTACTCATGATTATTTTATGTGCCATTCACTAGGGGTGGAGAATTCATGAAATGGTGTAGGCGTATTGCAGATAGGACCTAAGGACAGGGTGACAGGTGCTGATAAGAATTCTTGGGTGAAAACGATGTAAACTTGTATTTATCTCGGAGTAGCTGGATTCATTACTCTTTGCTGGCAATTTCCTATAGATCAATTTAACGTCTTTTCTTCATTTTTATGTTTATTTTTCTGAGTTGCACAACTGCTTGCTTATGGCTTTTTAAAAATGCTCTTTTTTTAAAAGTACAAGTTAAATGTGAACTGCTGGCTTTGCCAAGGTTAGGAAGATATGGAAAAGAACAACACAGCATACTGTCAGATTTCTAGGTAGAGGCACGGCTTGTTTAACTTTTCCCGAAATGCCACAAAGACCAAACCAGAGAAAAGCCTCTCCTGGTGGCTGCAATAACTACAGCCTGCCTGAGCCATTCCTGAGGATTCCTTTACAGTATTTATTAAAGTGAGTATGATGGTGGCCAGCCCCCAAGAATCGAAGACAAACCCAGTTAAGCTAATAAATCACCCAAGTCTTGCTTTATTTGCAAATGATTGGAGAAAACCCAACCTGCAAATGGCCATATTAAAGACAGCCTCATTGAAAGCTCTCCCCAAAGCATGCCATAAACTTACATAACCAGGGGCTTTTCAACAGGGTAGACCATGTAAGTATGTAACTGAACCAACATTTGCTTGTTTTACCTCTGTGGTCTCCACCACTTCTGCTTTGGAATGAGCTAATTTATGAGTTATTTTTGATTAAATAAATGCTTTGAAAAGTTTTATTTCCCCCAGTTTAAGCTTTTGGCACTTTTGTGTAAGACTGATAGTAGCTAAGTCCAAAAGTGAAATGTATGAAATTCTAGAGAGAGAAGAGGATGATGGAGAAAATCTTCTTACCAAGTAAACCTTGGTTTCTGTGTTCTAGAATCTAAGAGCTGGATAGAAAATTGGCTTAGTTAGAAAATTAGCCCTCTTTCCTGTAGGGGAATGCAAGCCCTGTGTACTTGTGGTCTGTCATCTTTGCCAACCCTGCTATATTAATTTTAATTAATATTCTTATTTAATTTGAATATATTCTAATTAAGTAAATAAAATGAATTTAATTAAATTTAATATGCGCTATCTTAATATTAATGTTGATTGAGCCCCTGTGTGCCAAACACTGAAGTAGGCACAAGGAGTACAGTAATGATAAAAATAATTCTTCTCTTAGTTGGTGATTAGCTTCTCTCCATTATATTAGAATTTTTGTAAATCTGAAGAAAAATCATATCTATTGTAGGTGACCAATGCACACAAATCTTTGCATTAGAAGTAAGAATGACATTCTGTAGACTCCCAGTGATGCAGGAAAGGGAAAACAAAGTACAACACAAGGCTAGAACCACAGGTAGAGACCCCAAAACTCAGTCTTTACCTAAGGGTTAGCATTTGAAAGGGGCTCTGACAACTGTGGAAAGGCTCACACACAAAAAGAAGCTATGGGTTATCTTATTTGAAGGCAAATAAAGGTCAAAATGACATACTATAAGAAAGCCTCAGGAAATGAAGATTGCCCTTTTCTTTTTTGGTCTGTGGCCAATGAGAGGAAGGTTTGATGTTCAGAAAATGGTATGCCAAAGACCGTGCTTCAGTAGAAACTAGGTTCCTCTGGCTTAGCCTTCTTTTGGCTTTCTCAAACTTCCCCAGAATCCATGCGCTTTTAGCACACCCCCTCATCTATGTTCCTCTTGCTCAGCCTTCTTTTGGCTTTCTCAAACTTCCCCAGAATCCATGCGCTTTTAGCACACCCCCTCATCTTCTGCCCATACCCCTCTTTCTCCTTCCCATACCCCTCTTTCTCCCCCCTCTCTCTCTCCCTCATTTTTTCTTTTGGTTTTCTGGGACTAAACTCGAGTCTTTATTGGCCATGGCTAATTGAGGATGAAGTGGGAGGGGCGTGGCACCGATACCAGGCTGGCATGGCTTCACAGCTGATGGAGAACTTACCTCATCTCTGGCTTGGTTTCCACCTGGCTGTAGGGCTTGCTTTTGTAGGCTCACCATGCTGCCTACCATCTCTGGCAGGTGATTGTGGGTCTTCACCACCTCATGTTTCTCTATAGATGACTCCTCCTTCTTGGCCTTTCTCAGGCCCTTGAGTAGTGAGTGCCACTTCCACCACAGGCCACAGTTCAGATGCTACCTCTGTTGTACAGCTGCACCAGCTGCTCATAGGACATGTCCAGCAGCTGGTCTAGGTCCATGCTGTGGTAGGTGATCTTGGGAAAGGTCTGCTTCTGTATCTGTTCTGCTTCAGCCATCTTGCGGTTTGGAAAAGGAAGCCTTCCTACCCTTCTTTCTTTCAGTTAGGTTCTCTTTAATCCTGTGTAGCCCTTGATGGTCTTCCACTTGAAATTCTCCTACTTTAGCCTCCAGAGTGCTAGGATCACAGACCTGTTCCACAATTCCTGACCATCTTCAGTCCCTGACTGACTGAATCTTCATTAACCAGAAAAGAATGATGTCCTGTTGTGTAAGTCTGAAATCTGTAATCTCACCTGGGAAGACTTTCGTCATATGGTACCTTTTGCCGCCTCACAGAGAATCATGTACAATCCATTATTTTATTTAAGCCACCGTTGACAGCTTTAAGTGATGGTTGGAAGGTTCTGTGGAAATCTCCTTTGCCCTTACAGAAGCCATGTTATGCATTTGAAATTCTTTCAGTGAATTATTGGTGAGTTATTGTAAGAAGCTGAGACAGCAGTTTGCCTTTAGCAGGCAGATGCAGGAAGGAGGAAAGACACACATGGCTCCTCGCCCCGAAGTGGTAGTGAGAATAAGTAATCCTTATGGTGATAGGTAACTTAGAGAGGACTGCCTACCATTTAAGGCCTAGCTCATAAAGGCCAAGGCTTGATTGAGTCTTTTCTCTATTGCTAGAAAATCTGAAGACTTTTTTTTTTTTTTTCCTCGTGGTCATTTCAAAATGTATTGTCTTCATCCACCTTTGAAGAGACCGAGACCTTGAGTTCCTTTGCTTTGTACTCAACAGAATTCATTTAATTTTGGGAACTGAGTAAAAGGACCAGTGAATGACTTAAGTCATACAACTGTTAGTTCATTTCTTTGTTTTTTTCTTCCATTATCTGAGTATTTCGTGTCAGCATAACTGAAGTTTTGGGCAGTTTTCATTTTTTCACATTATTGTTAATGAAGTGAGAAACTCTGTAAAAACCGACAGGAGCTATGGCATTTCAATTGCTGTT